TTCTTATTGAAATCGCTGGGCCGAATCCTGAGGTCCTTATTTGATTTTTACCTAGGCAGAACTCTCCTTCAAGCCAATGAGAGTTTTGCCTGACTGTGAAGGAGAAACAGAGTAAGGATTTCAGGATGTGTCCCAATGGGAGGTATAAGTGTTCAGCACTTCTCAGGATCAAGCTCTTAGCAGAGGGCATTGTCTTCTCAGACAGCTGTAACAAAATGTTTTCCCCTCTCTTTGCACATACTTTTCAGATGAAGTTGTTTCCTTAGTTTTAGACACAGCTACATGATTTAATATAAGAAGTTTTTTTTGGTATTCATTACAATATGGTGGGGAATTAAGGTCAAGTTCTTGGGAGACGGAGGGAGTTGGCTGAGAGCCAAAAATCTGCATGACACAAGATAAGAGCTTCCCCTGCTTCAACAAGGCTATAGATGGGAAGAGGTTTTCTCAGATCTTCATCCAGCTATAAACCCAAACAGTAGAACGATCTTTTCCCCATGGGAAACTTACTAAAAACCAAGCACTGGGAGTCAATGTATAACTGCTGCATTTCAAAGGGGAGTCTTCCATATAAAACAGGGAGAGTAAACCTGGGGCCTGAAGAACAGAAATCAGCATAAATAACATTAAGTGCCTGGACTCTGTTACCTAGTTTGTGGTATCTCATTTGATTCGCTACAGCAGTCTGGAGGAAAAACAAACCATAGTTTTACATTGACAGAGTCCTGTAGGAGTTAGAGACACTCTGGTTGGATACTGATGCAGAGTCACATTCTTGTGGTCTGGGAGTAGAGCAATATCTCTGATCTGTTTTCTGCTTTGGCTGCCTTTATTCTAATATGTACACATGATACATAGATGTAGATTAGAATAAAATAACCTATGTCTCATTTCCCATGCATAATGGAAATAATCCACTTGTTGGGTCTGATATTCCTTATACCAGTGTTTCACACCAGTGTTACTCTATTGACTTCAGTGGATTTATTCCTGATTCACACCAGCATAAGTGAGGTTAGAATAAAGCTCCTGGAGTCCAAATCTTCCAAACCACTCTAAAGTCATGACTACTGTTGATATGTCTATACCTGAAGCTGGAGGTGTAATTTCCATCTTGAGAATACATATCCATGCTAGCTCTAATTGAGTACCGCACTAAAAATAGAAGTGTGCCCATGACAATGTGAGGGGCTAGGCACCCTGAATACAATCCTTTCCAAGATGTTAAGCTGTATCTACACTTAAACTGCTAGACTGGCCCAGCTGCAGTGCTGCAGCTTTGTCGCTGTAGCTCGTCCGAGTAGACACTCACTACAGCAACAGAAGGGGTTTTCCTATCACTGTAGTTAATCCACCTCCCCAACAGGCAGTAACTACATCAATGGAAGAATTCTTCTGTCAGCCTACACTGGGGGTCAGGTCTGAACACCTGTCTCCTGGGAGAGAGGGGGGATTTTTCACATCCCTGAGAGAAGTAGCTATGCTAATGTAAGTTTTCAGTATATACCAGCCTTTGGTATGTACTTGGGTGGATGGCCCCTCCTGCCACTGCGGTTACACTGCTATTTCCAGAAAGCCCTACCATGAGTGCTATGTATTAATTTTAGTACTATTACAAGTATCATTTCACCTCAGAAATTCACACCCTGTGTCTTTGCTGATAGTGCTGCATGTTGTGGCAAGTGTTAGGCATTACTACATCTGTATTCATTGGTAAACAAAACAGGAGCAATTGCACACTGTATCACTAAAGCATAAGGACAACGTGTATGGGAGAGTCACACATCTAAAACAGCTATCAGGAGAAGGAAGAAGAGACCAAGGAGGGAGCCCTGGGTTCTTACAAAATATTTAAAACTCTTCTTGATACTCTGTAAAACATCTGGAAATGTTCAGACCAGACCTAGCCATTAAAACCCAGCAACCCCACATCCATCTCTGTGCCAGGCCCAGCTGAAGAAGCCAACTGCTTGGAGGTTTATGCAACTTTTTGCAGATTTCTATGGCAGAAGAAACAGTCATAATTTTTGGTGGACTGGGGCCTAAGACTCTTGTAGCGTTCATGAAAAAACTCAAGCCAAAAGTTAGGGTCCTAAATCCATATTTGAACACCTTACTGATCTAATCTGATTACTTCTAGGGCACATAGAGAGGGTCATCTATTTTCCCCATGCATTACAAAATGGGGGAGGGGGATAAGTGCAAATGTAGAGGTGGGGAATTGTTTGAGTGGGAGAAGGATTTGTAGTGAGTTACCTTAAATTGGTACACTTAGTGTGCATTTTTAAATTATCCCAAGTGCCTAGAGGATATGGTCAGATGCTCTTTAACCCTCTAAACAAATCCATAATTAGGCATCTAAATAAAAAGTTCAAGTAAATGTGGATTTAGGAGCTTAATTTTCAGTGTCCAGTTTTTGGCATTTTGGCCCTGGTGTTTTTTATATTTCTGACTGCTATATGCACTCAACAGCGCTCTACAATTATTAAATAATAAAGATGGTAGTTCATGGTGAACAATCTGGGTTTTTCCCCCATCAGAAATGGTTGCTTCACTTTTCTGGATCACATTGCTCAGAAAGTTCTAGAGGGTTCTGTAGCTCTGACCTGGAGAGAAGGCTTCTTTGGGGGAGAGTGAGACTTGAGTAATCAGTGGACAAACTTAAGGCAGTTAACTTGAATATCTTGAGGCTAACTGAATCTAGGTCATAAGCAATGTCTAGGTTAACACAGAAAGTTAAGCAGAGCAGAATGAGGCAAATTACCTTATTAGCCCTTGACAGGTCAGCCTGGCATTTCTTATATACACTACAAAACCCACTCATCTTCACACAGAGAAGTCTAATGTAGATGGATTTCTACAGAAATGCTGCACAACTTGGAACTTGTACTTTTTGTGATTCTTCATGTTCACAATCAGGACTGTCCATAACCACCTCTATAGCCCATCTATAGAGGTGGTTATGGACCTCTCAAAGACTCGGGAAAACAAATGGGACTTGCAGAATGCCAGGAAAGTCATTAGACTTGGTCTCTGTCAAACCAAAGTAGGAAGCATGTGATAAAATCAAAGGATTCTCCTTGAAAATCAAAGGTCAGCAGCACCCTCCCAGGCCTGTCTACCCTTTGGATTTGCCCTAATTCCAGCCATCCCTGGCCACCCACCAGAACAGTTGCACTGGAGCAAACCCCTAATGCAGATATGGTAAATTGCAGTTGGCAACAGTGCAGTTTATCACTGCTTGAAATGGGGTTTGCACCAATACAGCTTACATGGTTGTCTGGTCACTGGTGGATGAAACAAGGGCTAATTCCCGATGCAGATGAAACTAGGGCTAATTCCCCCAGTTTCCTGAAAGGACTGTATGTTGGAGCACCTCAGCTGTATTTAACTGGAGGTGGTCTCTAATGTACGCGAGTCCCAAGCCATTGAGGGCTTTATAGGGCAAGAACAACACTTTGGCTTCCAGTTCATTTCCAGAAGGATATTCAATGTAGATCTTGAAGCACAGGTGAGAGGTCTTCCCTGAATGAGGAATGTTAAGCAAATAGGGCACTTCCTTAGTTGAAATCTCTTAATGGTGGTAAGATGTAGCCTATATAGAGTGCATTGCAGTAGTACAATCTCAAGGAGACAAAAGCATGGCTAGACATCGTGACATCCACATTCAAGAAAAGAAGTCAGAACCTAGATGGAAGGCAGTGTGGTCTAATTGACAGAACACTGACTAGGACTCAGAAGATCCAGGATCTATTCCTGGCCCTGCTATTGGTCTCTTGGGCAAGCCACATCACCTCTCTGTGCCTCAGTCTCCCCATCTGTAAAATGGGGATAATGATATTGACCTCCTTTATGATGCATTTTGAGATCTACTGATGAAAAGTGCTATATAAGAGCTAGGTATTATTGTTATTATGGTTGGACACAAATGGATGCAAATATTCTTGGCCACTGGTGCATCTGTGGAATCCAACAAGATGCCCAGGCAGTGAATCTATGTCATAAACACCAGGCATTTTCCCTAAACCAAGACAATTGCCTCTGCCTTTCTCCCAAAATCTTCCCACAGCCTGTATGCATTATTCCAGTCTTGTCTGGGGTGAGCCTCAGCAAGTTCTTGAGCAAGCTTCAATCTGTTAGGAACTGGGTAAATCATTCAGCTGCACATACTGAGCCAATTAGAATGGATATATAAATCTGGGTGGTATCATAGAATATGAGGATTGGAAGGGATCTCAGGAGGTCATCTAGTCCAACCCCCTGCTCAAAGCAAGACCAATCCCCAGACAGATTTTTGCCCTAGATCCCCCCTTCAGGGATTGAACTCACAACCCTGGGTTTAACAAGCCAATGCTCAAACCACTGAGCTATCCCTCCCCCACTGAGCTGTACTCATCACACTGACTACAGCCCATTTCCTCACTAAGCTTCCTAACAGTCCCATACACATTAGTATGCAAGTTTTGTGTGCAGATGCTGGGTGGTTGGTGGCCTCTGATATACAGGAGCTCAGACTAGATGATCTGGTGGTCCCTTATGGCCTTAAACTCTATGAGTCTATGACATGCTGAATAGTGGGATGACAAAATGGAACAAATGAGATCCAGTAGAGGTGTTTAGATCTGAATCCCTATGGGACTTGGGCTAGGAAATGGGTATCTGGCTGAATCAGAGACACGTTTTGAAATCTCACAAGCTCTGAAATCTCACAAAAAGATTTGGTTTGGATCTGAGGAATTAGCATCCTGACCATTCCCTACTATTTAAAGGACTCCAAATGTGAAGGTCTGGTTTCAACCCATCTCTAAATATAAAGGATACCAAAAGAAATCACCCTTCACTGAGTGCAGTTGTAGGTTCAGTGGCTGTGTCGTGATGAAGTGAGACTTGTCCTTTGCTGCTCTTGTATTCACTGTCATTAATTGCTAGAAACACTGAAATGAAGTGTTGTGCTCATCTTCTCCGCAGCATTTAAGATTTTATTCATAATACAGACATACCTTGGAAGGGATGTTATTTTTCCCCATTTCTCTATACAGAAGCGCCGCAGACCATTGCTCCCTCGAAGGGCTGCAAACCCCTCATATGGCACACTAGATGTTCCAGTGACAAACTGCAGGAACCGTAGCCTCTGTTCATTGTTAAATCTCTCTACTGCTGCCCAGAACCACCGAATTACAATATGCCCATCATGGTAACCTGAGATAGAAAGATTAGAAACATACAAATTAAGTGGGAACTGGATCAGATGATGTACCATTTCAATACATTTCCACAAAAAGGAATGTGAGCTATTAGCTTCTCTTGCTACAAAACCTCAGCCAAAGGACTGATCTAATGATTGATGAGCTATGTCTTAGCCCTCTTGTCTTCTCACCTCTGGATAACTTAATACAGCTAACTAATTTGAAACTACAAAATTCCATGTACAGCAAAGCTCACATTTATAACTCACGTATACAGCCCTTTCCCAAAACATTTTGGCAAATACGGTGGTTATCCATGATAAATATAAATGACAAAAGTTGATATTCTATATGGCTCATGACAGCTTGATGGAAAGGCTACATTTCTGATTCCCAAATACAACCAAGGCTGTAGGACTGGATAAATTGTTACATCTATAGCAGATAACATTCAATGGTGTTGCTTTAAAACAATGTAATAAGAGGGGTAAAGAAATTAAATCAATGGTCCAGATCGTGAAGCTAGCATAGGAAAGTGCCGGCCCAGCTCCCTGCATCCTAGGTATGAATCACTTTAAGGGGACATACCCTCTTCATGGCCAATACCAGTCCCTTTTGGGGTTGTACTGATCTCCAACATCTGGAGGGGAACGGCTGCTGCAAGCCCTTCCCTGGCAGACTTTCCACCACAGCTCTGGGCTTGAGATCATGCTAGTGAAAGCCAGAATGAACCCATGCTCAATCTGGTTCAATAATTATATTTAAATAACACTCTATGCAGAAGAGTTAAACATGAAAACCATTATAGGGAACTCTCCTTATGGCTAGTAGCTCAGTGCTTAAGCAACAAATAGGTAAGAATAGTTGGTGGTCAGCCAGCAGCCAAAATTTGCGTCTTGTGTTTATGGGGGAGGACAGGTCAACTCCACTGAGTTTTCTTTTGTGTTGCAGAGCCGAGGGACCTGGGGGGACAACCCATTTGCCCATTACTCAACAGTTCCTGCACACACTATGCTCTTTGTTCAAAACAAAACAAGTCCAACTAGTCGGGGCAGGGGATTTAGTGCTGGTGTTCAATGAAGGAGTGAAACACTTTGACTTGGGGGCTTTAATTTAGCGCTGAATTTTGTTAGAGTGTAACCGGGAGCAGAATTTGTCTCTATTGCTGTTAATGGGAATTTTGCCATTTTCTCAATAAGGCCAGGATTTTACTCATATTGTTCAATATAAATAAAGTATATGCTAAATTCTGCAGTCTCTACTCAGTCAAAACTCCCATTAAGTCAAAGGAATTTTGTCTGAGTAAGATCTGAGTAGAAACTGCAAGACCTGTTCTAGTATTAACGTGTCTATTGGCCAAATCATGAGGTCCTTATTTAGTTTTCATTGAGTCCTTCTTGCGAGAAACCGTCTGAATTCAGTGGGAGTTTCCCTCAGGAAAATTAGAGCAAACACTGAGTACGCATCTCAGGATGTGGCCTGATAATAATGAAGATCCTACTATGTATGAGTAGATAGTTTACCTCCACGATATTCTGTGTTGTTACGCCAGTCATTGAGGTCTATTTCTGCAGTGCCTGCAATCACCAGCTCTAGCTCTCTGGCATCAAAAATGGAGACGAGCCTGGAGTCTACAACCTAAAACACAAACCATTCTTGAGTCCACTCTGGCTGGAGGTACAGCAGATGCATTGTCTCAGAAAAACTCAGTCATGGCTCTGATGATTAGCTGCCTACTGTGACTAAGAGTGCATGTCAGCAGTTAGATTCCAATCACCTGCTAATAAATCAGTTGCTTTTCTTTTGTGAGTTTGCTGAGAATTTTAATTGTAAACAATGCTGATCTATGAGGAGATATGATCAAAATGGAACAGCAGAAGGAAAAGGAAATAGTTTGTGCAGAGGACTTCTTCCTACAGCATCTCTTCTGAAAAGTGATATAAATGGTCAACTGCGTATGAGATTTGCAAAATGTAGGGTATATTTTTCTATATTGCTTTTAGTCTGTGTCAGAATATGGTTACAAGATAGCAGCCTTAGTACTTCATGCATGATTAAACTGAGGTTTATCTTCTTAATGGTATTAAAAAAAATCCTTCACAAACTGTACAGTACTCGGATGAACACGGAATATAGAGACAAATATACAGCTTTTCAGCCTTTGTCAGTTCTTGCGGCGCTCGAGCACTTTCATGAATTCTGCCACAGTGCAACTCTTGGAGCCAGATCCTTAGCTGACGTAAATTGACATAGCTCCAATGACTTCAATGGAGCAGTGCCCATTAACACAAGCTTGAGATCCAGCATTTTATATATTAGGGCTAGCCACAGTTTATAGTATAGAATGCTAGATGTCAAACCGCTCTGTGATGAGTTCCTTAGGGATATAGTATGTCTCACTATCTCTGGAAAGAAGAACAGGAGGACTTGTGGCACCTTAGTTCTTCTCCTCAATCATGTGTTCATTCTGTACTTCCTCACACTCCAACCCCCAACAGAAGAAGAAAATTTGGAACCCATACTTCACTACAGTATTTTATACAACATCTTTCAAAAAGCCTTTATTGCTTAGAAAAGCCACTAGTGGCTAGGGGGTCAGATTTTCAAAGGTACGTAGGTGCCTAATGATGCAGATACGTGCCTATGGGAATTTTCAAATGCGCCTGGGCAGCCTCGGAACCAAACTTCCATTGGAAACAATGGGAATCAGGCACCTAAACTGCATACCGCCTTTTGAAAATCCCAAACTGATCTGCATCATTAGAAGCCTGAATACCTTTGAAAATCTAGCCTGAGGAGTCTTATAATCAACAATGGCCTCTGCTTAATATTGACTGAAAAATGGAACAAACCGAAAAACTGAAATAACCACAGAAGAAAAATCATTTTACAATTCTGTATACTGAGCCTGCTTCTCCTCTTGTCTGCACTAGTTTTACTCCAATAAATTTGGATTTACACCAGGGTAAATGAAAGAAGAATCAGGCTCACTATGCTTTATAGACTGACATTTTTTCATAGTTACCAAAGCCAATACCAACAGTTAATATTGTCATAGCTCATTAGTCAACAAACTCAGCCTCTGGCCAGGACAGCATATGACATACACAAGGAAAGTGAAATGTGGTTTGACAGGACACATCCTATCCAAACATGCCAGAAATTCTTATTCTATTTGAATGAAAGGAGACTTCTGCGGGGTACAGCAACCTAGGATAATGTCTTAGCAATTTATTTTATTTTCTTGCTTGTGATCTTCCAGTTCTCTGTGCCTCTGATTGGCAGGCACGAGTGGTGGAAAAGGCAAGACTCTGGGAACTGACAATATTCTGTAGTCTCAGCAGATACAGGATTTGATCCTGAAAGTCCTTGTATGGTACACAGCAGGGTGCACAAGGTTGGCAAGTAGAAGACTCATGTGGGTGCAAATGAGATCAAGTGCTAGGCATGGTCTTCTGCACTGATAGTAATAAGCCTACCCTCCCTTACTTGCAAGTGTGCATGGTGAAAAAGTGGCAGTATGTACAATTGTCTGAGGACACAAGGGCCTAAGTGCTGTCCTCATTTTACCAGTGTGGTGCTTAGCTACGTGCAACTTTCTCTGCTTTACTTTTACTATGAGATAGGAATATTGTTGTGACTGGATAGCAGTAATCTCATTAGTGCAGGTCAGGTTTACCTGTTCTTTTTTTCCCATTCATCACTTTTTATCGTGCAGAATCAAGTTCACATTCAGCTACCTTCTCCCTTAATCACTAACATTAAACACATCATCTCCTGATGCTACTACCCCTGCCAGCTAAGGTTTTGAGAATTCCATTCATTTCTGGTATTGTCAGTAGGCTGCCCTTGTGCTTGTCACATTCAGATCATGAGTGGTGGATGGTATGAGCAACTTTGTTACTTACTTCATAGAAGCCACGGACTAGAGCCTCTGTTTGCTGAACCACTCCTCGTTCCACACGCCACTTTACCATTCTCTCAATGTACTCCTTCTTGTTCTTTTCTGTCACCTGTGTATTTGAACCCCCAGATTTCAGCTCTCTTTCTGTCACCTATCAAATAGAAATACATACTGGGGTAGCAATGCAGAGATCACCATGTATTTCAAAATTCAAGGCAGGCTTTGCAAAACAGTGCGGCGCAAGCAACATTTCTGCATTCCTATCAGTACATCGCATTATTACAGCTCACCCTATGTTGGTGTCTCTCCCATTCCCATCAGAAAAATTAAAGTAATTAGTGGGGGAAAAACACATTCCAAATGGCATATACAGATAATGATTCAGATTCTTTGATTCACCGACATCACACTTGGTGAAGTGGGACACATCAAGGTGCCATGATTTTCTCTGCTCAGCCCCTCTTTCCAGCACAGGCTACAGCAGCCATAGAAACATAGAATATCAGGGTTGGAAGGGACCTCAGGAAGTCATCTAGTCCAACCCCCTGCTCAAAGCAGGACCAATTCCCAACTAAATCAGTCTTGAGAATGTTCCAACTTCTTGTGCCAGCTTGCAGTGGGCCCCCAGAAACCACTGACCAACTGATCATAGCCAAAACATAGCTCACTTTTACCACACGTGTTCATCCTGCCTTTCCCACCAAGAGCTGCAGGGAGGGTGATTTAGGAGCCAGTTATGCCAGCTCTATGCCTGCTGCAAACTTCCTAACAGGGCAAAGGGAACAGGCCAGGACAGAGAATCTGCCCCAGTGTCAAGGAAGTCAGATTGTCTCACAGAAGAAATGCAATTAGTAGGTTAACTGTTGGTTCAAAAACTTACCTGTTTCAGTTCAAAAGTTTTACTCTCATGTGACATGCTCCCTTAGGCAAAAATTGTTACTGTGAGTAAAGCTAAGTGGAATTGTTACTGTGAGTAAAGCTAAGTGGAAGCGTATATCAATGGCTATAGAATTTCATAGCATCTTAAGGGTTAATTTTAGTTGGTTTGATTGCTGAAGTTTGAGGCAGACAAGAAGTGATTAGAAGGAATTAGCCTTAGGAACCTATGCAGTGAGCATATGATCTTTGGCAGATGTTGCAAAAAATTATCTACCTTGTAATTAAACTCATTTCAAATTCACTCTAATAGATTAAAAAAATTAAGAACAATTAAGGGTTTATTTGCATGAACATTTAGTCTGTGGCAAACTGGGGTCTGAGTCTACCCTGTAGTAGCCTGCTGCAGAGAAACTGTCCATGTGGACCTTGCTGCCACGCATTTACACTTCATTAATGCACTCTGATCCAGTCCCATTCAGGCATGTGGCAATTCTCCAAAAAGGGCCATATTTTTGGAGATTAATGTACCCAACCTACACTCCCCCCACATCACATATCCTTTCAAAGTTATTTTATGTTCTTTTAGATGAAGTATGATAAGCAGCTGTCAAGTGGTGCCATATGACTGTAGGTGAGGTGAAACAACGGTACCCAAAATGAGAAAGTGTCATTTTTTTGCACAGTTCCAGAAACACTGCAACAAGACTACAACTACAGATTTTACTTTTTAAATTAATTTCAACATCTTAATGTGGTATTCATTGGTCAAACACCAATGTATGTCCAAGTGATAATGTATTAAAAGGTTTGTATTGGTTTTGCATGGACAAGTATTTTTTTTTTTAAACAGAAATGATGAAGCTGTGGCAACGATGTCAAATATCAACATATGGCAAAATACTAACATGAAATGTTTTCACATCGCATATTCTTAATTGTCAGAGTGTGTCACAAGTGATTATAATAGTTTTCTATATTTTCAGATGAAATGTGCTGACCAGATGAGTTTCATATTGAAGGTTGTGCACCAGTAGCAGTAGATTGCGTGCCCATAGTTTGTACTGCATAGTGGGTAGATATAAATGTATGTGAATTCCTAATGTAATGCTTCTCCATTTGTACATACAATACAGTACATACAATTTAGTCTGCATATATAGGCAATTAATCTGTAATTGCCTAAGTATGCAGTACTAGTCTTTCAAATATTCTATAAATTAGCTTTTTAATTCAGTGACATGCACAGGTCAGTATTAGTGTTAGAGATGACAATACACAGCTTCATATTGGGCTTTAATCAAAGTGCTCTAAAATGGTAATTTTGATACTAACATACAGATCTAATTTATATCTAATTTAGCATAAGTCTGTATCTGTGTACAAAATGAAAAATGGTGATAGTGGTGGTGGTAATGCTAACAATATAATAAATTTACTACTACAGAGAAATTACAGTATATGAAGACATTGAGCACACAAGCCCCTTAAAGTTTACATCAAAGAGAAAAAGACTCTTCACAAACTTTGAAAAATGTGTTATTTGTCAAGAAAATCAAAAGAATACAAAACTGTCAAAGCAATCAGTGCTGGACAGAATTCTGTGATGCTGGCAGCAGAAGTCAGGAGAGATGAATTGTATTGATGGCTACTGGATGAGTTTTCTAGTTTAGATGATGTGCCACCAATACTCTGTTACAGGGGTTGCTTTCAGAAATACACAAACAAGTTGAATGTTGCACATGTCAGAGTTTTACTGAACCCAGGGAAGAAAACAGATTCTGAATCTGATCAGAGAACATCATGTTCATCTGCTTCTATAGCCACCAGCGCAAGCATGTCCTCCAGCGATTGGCCCTGTTGCATTGTTTGCTTGAGAAAACCACAAAGAAAGACAAGAAACTTAATAAAATAGGAACATTTGAGAACAACCAATCTAAGGGAGGTAGCATGTCAAAGACAAGATGATGACATATTGCACTGATTATCTGTAGAAGACTTGATTGCTTTTGTCACTCAACATGCCTTTCTTCCTCTTTGAGTAAAAAGAATCTTAAAGCAAAACCATCTAGTTGCACTGCAACAATACACTCACATTATGAAATTGCACTTTATCAGCTGGTAGAAGAGATAGACAATTATATTATGTACAACAAGAAGACTCTTCTGTCCAAGCTGCTACAAAGATATAACGCCCTACTTCCCTCAGATGTAGAAACTGAAAGCTATTCTAGTAGCAAATTATAGGCAAGATTAGAAAAACATTATGGTTCTGCAATTTCATTCTATGAACAGCATGGAAAATGCATATCTACCATTGTTCCAGGCAGCACAATAATATTAGCTAATGCTATCCAAGCTGCTAGTCATCTGAAGCAGGAACTTAACTCATCCAAATGTTTTGTGGCTGTTCTTCTGGCGAATGAGCCTGATGAATAGCTTTCAAATGAACAAGTGATTTTGTATAATGCTGCTTCAATCCTTCGGTCTGAAATAGCCAAAATGAAAGCCTCAGTATGTTATCCAAAGTCAGGTGTTTGTAGTTTACAGAGGGCAGCTACTTTTGTGCCCCAGTTGGTGCAGGAGTTTGTCCTTTGGTTGGTAGATAATTCAGCCAGTGGTGTCGTCCTTGAGAAGACATTCAAAGAAGGTGTCTCTCAGTTGCAGAGTGCGTAGTATTTAAGTGTTCCAAAATGATCACACCTCTGCACACAGGTCTTGCTGCATGGCTAAACCCATGAGTTTGGGCCTCACAATTGAACTGACATATTGTACCTTCATGGATTCTGCAATTATGATGAGCTGAGGCAGTTCATCACTTGTGTTGCAAAAACTGAAGTAGAAAGACTCCAGAGGGGTATGTTCATTTCAAATGGAATTACACCCCTTCATGCTGGTAGAAATCTCATCCATGAAGGAGACAGTAATATAGACATCAGCATAGAGAGCATTGATGGAAAGGTACCTTCTTTTCAATGGCTAGAGTGATATTTGAAGAACAGTTTGCAGATAGTTCAGCATCGCAAGAAATATCCTGACCCATGGGAAAGAAAAGTCACTTATTCTACCCAGGTAATCAGAGACTCTTACGCAAGGTGCAGTATTTGAAAAACCTAGAATACATCCAGAACCGACTCATGATAAAAAAAACCGTAGAAAAAAAAACTCTTCTCACCTATAAATGAACGATGTCTGAGATCTCTTCTGGAGTCTCTTAAGACTACTACTTCATAATGTCCTACCAATACCAAATTGCATTGATATTGTTCACACTCATGTGATTCCATTTTGGTCGAGTTTCAAGCATAAGCTTGCAACAAAGAGAGAGCATCTACACAGCAATTCCATATGTACCTATTCTGGATGAAGAACAAATGGAGAGATTTGTGACAGGTGCGCTTGATTCTGATGGGACACATAGCTTCTTCAGCCTAGTCAAGAACTCAGTCATCAAAACATTTGCAGACATGGCCAAGAGGACCAAATTTAAGTTTGACAATGGAGGGACAATCACAGCAGCGATCAATCCAGCAATTGTTTTCCGCAGAGTCCTGCCCTTAGCAAGATGAAGAGATGATGTTTCAATGGCAACTGTTCTTTGTCACCGAAGAGGACAGGTGCCTGTGTTCTTCTTCCATGCTGATGGAACTATGAGAACAACAGACAAAGCTGAATTAGGGCATCAGCTGGAAGCTCAAGCTGAAAGAATCCATCAGCTAAGAGAATGCAACTAGGGATATGTCTACACAGCAAAGAAAAACCCACAGCTGGCTCATCCACACGGTCCTAGAGCCTGGACTCCAATCCAAGCCTGACGTCTACGCAGCAATGAAACAACTCTGTAGCCTGAGCCCTGTGAGCTGACTTGGTTGGCACAGACCAGCAGTGGGTTTTTCTTTGCTGTGTAGACATATGCAAAGAAACCACTGTGTACATCAAAGATGCCAACGCTGTGATACAAATTCCACACATTCAGTGTATGGCTGCTGAGTACTTGAGGCAGGTCCTAAAAGGATTTGAGAAAGCTAATTCTGTAATCAGAGTCTTTGACATATGATAACAGTAACTCTTTGGAAACTGCAGAAAGACAGCACTGGACAAGGTCTAAGGTTGGATGCAAAAAATACCAGGTGATTGGTGGACACCCTTTGCCTCCATGAAAAAAAGTTTCTAAATGTGGCATCCAACAGCAGTCACTTGTAAAATTCCTCTGTGAATATATGGTTCAAAATGCACCTTCTTGTTGGAGGCTTTTACAATGGGGACGTAGCAAAG